GAGCCAGAATGCCTGTTAGCTCTCTCTCTGTTCCTTAGATGCTGGGATGATCTTATCTGAGTGTTTTGGAAGCTGGCTGTTAGAAAGTGTCATGAGCTATTGTAAGGTTTGCAACAGTTAGCAAACCTTGATTACTGGACTGATTATATGTTACTATACAGTGTTATTTAGATTATCCCTTAACTGAAAGACATGGATGACTGACTGAATTATCCGTGTATGACTTGGACTGTTTGATGGACTCCAATACCTCTATTTCCAAAAAAGTAAAAGCCTATTTAAATGGCAGTGCCTCTGTATGCTGGTTTGTGTGTTCTCCAACACAACTCTAACAACACTTCTCTGAACATACTCGCTCTCCCAACAGGGAGCTTACCTAACACTTCATTCCCTCCAACATCTGGTCATTCAGCAGTCATCCCTCCCTCCACACAAAAATAGGCTGCCCTCTTTCTGCCCTGCATTTGAAGATTCACACCTTTAAATACAAGGAGGCAGCCTCCAGCACCCCTTAGCTGACCCTGGAAACAGTTGAGAGGCCCACATCACAACCCCCTTGGCAACTGTGGGGAGTGTCGGTGAGACCCAATTGGCATGGAATTGAAAAAGTAAGTTGGAGAATCGGCTCCTGCCCAGAGGGGCAGTGGACCTCAGGATTTTCCAGGCCACTTTGTTGTTCAGTCAAAGTTTTGTCCAACTCTTTGCAATCCCATGGATCATAGCATGCCAGCCCCTCTCCTGTTCTCTGCTGTCTCCTGGACTTGGCCCAAACTCCTGTCTGTTGTGTGGATGGCACCATCTACCCTTCTCCTCCTCTGGCATTCCCTTTCTCCTCTTGTCCTCAATCTTTCCCAACACCAGGGTCTTCTCCTAGGGGTCTTCTGTTCTCATTTGGTGGCCAAAGGATTTGAGCTTCAGGATCTGTCCTTCCAAAGGAAGTCAAGATTGATATCCTCCAGGACTGTTCCAGGTAGCTGCGCCCTTTGTCTCCGGGGCAGGTGAGAGAACAGGAGGACAGAGAACAAGGAGGAAGCAGACAGAGCTGAACTCTGAACTACTCTTTTTGCTTTTAGCATTTTCTCAGAAATACAAACGGATTACAAACGAAATACTAAAAAAAAAGATTAAACCTGGGGTAAAGAAGACAGAACATAACAAGAGTTGCAAGGAACCTTGGAGGTCTTGTAGTCCAATCCCCTCTTCCAGCAGGAGACCCTCTACCATTCCAGACAAATGGTTGTCCAATCTTGTCTTAAAAACATCCAGTATTGGAACACCCACAACTTCTGGAGGCAAGTCGTTCCACTGATTAATAGTATCAATTGTTACGAGGTTTCCTTCTGGGCAATGGGTTTGGGAGGGAAAGGAAACGGGGAGAGAGACCCAACTTAGAGCTCCCTTCACCCACCCCCCAGGAACTCACCGGAGCAGCCCACCGGCACCAAGACCCCGAGCGCCGCCCCCAGGAGCAAGAGGGGCGTCCAGCTCAGCGACATCGCCCCCCAGCCGCGCGCCTCCTTCCAACTCCACGAAGTTCTCGGCAGACGTTCGTTGAAGTTCTTCGCCGAGTCCAAAGTGCGGAGATAAAACAGCACTTTCTCTTTCCAGGGCATTGGGGTGTGTTTGTGTTTGTGTGTAGGAGGCGTGTCTATCCAGAACGCAACCATCGCCTTAGGATGACCTCCAGCCAAATTTTGCGCCCAAACCAGCCGGTTGTTCCTATTGTCTGAACTCAGCCACCGCGATGCCCGCTTCTTCGTTAATAGTTCTGGCGAGGCCCTCTGAACGCCCCCTCCCCGCCCTCATCCCAAGGCTTCTGGTTGTAGCTTTCTGTGGCTACGTTTTTAACACAACTAAGACTATATTTAAAGAAGGGATTCTGCGAGGGGTTAATGGGGGGGGCAATGTTCCCTCTAATTTTTTTTCAGTGTGANCCACACAAAAATAGGCTGCCCTCTTTCTGCTGCATTTGAAGATTCACACCTTTAAATGCAAGGAGGCAGCCTCCAGCACCCCTTGGCTGACCCTGGAAACAGTTGAGAGGCCCACATCACAACCCCCTTAGCAACTGTGGGGAGTATCGGTGAGACCCAATTGGCATGGAATTGAAAAAGTAAATTGGAGAATTGGCTCCTGCCCAGAGGGGCAGTGGACCTCAGGATTTTCCAGGCCACTTTGTTGTTCAAAGTTGTGTCCAACTCTTTGTAATCCCATGGATCATAGCATGCCAGCCCCTCTCCTGTCCTCTGCTGTCTCCTGGACTTGGCCCAAACTCCTGTCCATTGTGTAGATGGCACCATTTACCCTTCTCCTCCTCTGGCATTTCCCTTCTCCACTTGTCCACAATCCTTCCCAACACCAGGGTCTTCTCCTAGGGGTCTTCTGTTCTCATTAGGTGGCCAAAGGATTTGACCTTCAGGATCTGTCCTTCCAAAGGCAGTCAGGATTGATTTCCTCCAGGACTGTTCCAGGTAGCTGCGCCCTTTGTCCCCGGGGCAGGTGAGAGAACAGAGGACAGAGAACAAGGAGAAAGCAGACAGAGCTGAACTCTGAACTACTCTTTTTGCTTTTAGCATTTTCTCAGAAATACAAACGGATTACAAATGAAATACTAAAAAAAAAAGGATTAAACCTGGGGTAAAGAAGGCAGAACACAACAGAGTTGCAAGGGACCTTGGAGGTCTTCTAGTCCAACCCCCTGTTCCAGCAGGAGACCCTCTACCATTCCAGACAAAAGGTTGTCCAATCTCTTCTTAAAAACCTCCAGTGTTGGAACACCCACAACTTCTGGAGGCAAGTCGTTCCACTGATTAATTGTATCAATTGTTACGAGGTTTCCTTCTGGGCAATGGGTTTGGGAGGGAA